TATTATATATTAAGATAAGTATTATAATGATGATATCCAGGGTAGTTGCAAGAGGAGTAAGGGAGTGTTAGTATGTCTACAGTTGTATGGCAGAGCTAAGTGTTTAGGAGTACCATGGGTAGTGCAAGGAGTACCATGGGAGAGTGGTCAAGGGTCCTGGGTAGTGTCCAGGAGTACCAGTTAGCAAGCTACCAGGCACTTAGGAGCTAAGGGTAGTGTCAGGATATACAGGTATATTAAGGAGTACAGGGTAAGTGTTCAAAGCTACCAGGGTAGTGTCAGGAGTACATGATAGTTGTCATAGAGTATATCAGTTAGTGTCATAGGAGTACCAGGGTAGTTTAAAGAGGTACCATAGTGATAGTGTTCAAGGAGGTACTAGGGTAGTGTAAAAGTACTAGGTAGTGTCAGGCAGAACAGGTACTTAGGAGACAAGTAGTGTCTAGGAGGCTACCGGGTAGTGTAAGGACTACCAGGGTAGTTCAAGGGGTACCAAGTGGTCAAGGAGATAAGTGTCTAGGAGGTACCTGGGTAGTGTCTAGGAGGTACCTGGTTAGTGTCTAGGAGGTACCTGAGGTAGTGTCAAGGAGGTACCTAGGCAGGAAAGTAGTGTCAAGGAGTACCTGGGTAGTGTCAGGAGGTACCTAGGGGTAGTGTCAAGGAGTACCTGGGTAGTGTCAGGAGGGTACCTAGGTAGTGTCAGGAGTACCTGGGTAGTGTCTAGGAGGTACCTGGTAGTGTCTACCAGGAGGTCAGGTACCAGGGTAGTGTCAAGGAGCTACCAGGGTAGTGTCAGGAGGTACCAGGGTGTGTCTAGCGAGGTACCGGGTAGTGTCAGAAGGTACCAGGGTAGTGTCAAGAAGTACCTGGGTAGTGTAAGGAGGTACCAGGGTAGTGTCTAGGAGCTACCGGTAGTGTCAGGAGTTTCCGGGTAGTGTTAGGAGGTACCAGGTAGTGTCAGGAGGTCCGGGTAGTGTCTAGGAGGTACCGGGTAGTGTCTAGGAGGTACCGGGTAGTGTCAGGAGCTACCGGGTAGTGTCAAGGAAGCTACCAGGGTAGTGTAGGAGGTACCAGGGTAGTGTCAAGGAGGTACCTGGGTAGTGTCTAGGAGTTCCGGGTAGTGTCAAGGAGCTACCTGGGTAGTGTCATAGGAGGTACCAGGGTAGTGTCTAGGAGGTACCGGGTAGTGTTAGGAGGTACCGGGTAGTGTCTAGGAGGTACCAGGGTAGTGTCAGGAGGTACCGGGTAGTGTCTAGGAGTACCTGGGTAGTGTCAAGGAGCTACCAGGGTAGTGTCAGGAGGTACCTGGGTAGTGTCTAGGAGGCTACCGGGTAGTGTCTAGGAGCTACCTGGGTAGTGTCTAGGAGGTACCTGGGTAGTGTCAGGAGCGTACCTGGGTAGTGTCAGGAGGTACCATGGGTAGTGTCTAGGAGGTACCGGGTAGTGTCAAGGAGGTACCATGGGTAGTGTCTAGGAGGTACCATGGGTAGTGTAGGAGTACCAGGGTAGTGTCTAGGAGGTACCAGGGTAGTGTCTAGAGTACCATGGGTAGTGTCAAGAGCTACCTGGGTAGTGTCTAGGAGGTACCAGGGTAGTGTCTAGGAGGTACCAGGGTAGTGTCAAGGAGTACCTGGGTAGTGTCTAGGAGGTACCTGGGTAGTGTCTAGGAGGGTACCAGGGTAGTGTCTAGGAGGTACCTGGTAGTGTCTAGGAGTACCTGGGTAGTGTCTAGGAGGTACCGGGTAGTGTCTAGGAGGTACCTGGGTAGTGTCAGGAGCGTACCAGGGTAGTGTCTAGGAGGTACCGGGTAGTGTAGGAGGTACCTGGGTAGTGTCTAGGAGGTACCGGGTAGTGTCAGAGGTACCAGGTAGTGTCTAGGAGGTACCAGGGTAGTGTCTAGGAGGTACCTGGGTAGTGTCTAGGAGGTACCGGGTAGTGTCAGGAGTACCTGGGTAGTGTCTAGGAGGTACCTGGGTAGTGTCTAGGAGGTACCAGGGTAGTGTCTAGGAGGTACCAGGGTAGTGTCTAGGAGGTACCTGGGTAGTGTCTAGGAGGTACCTGGGTAGTGTCTAGGAGGTACCTGGGTAGTGTCTAGGAGGTACCTGGGTAGTGTCTAGGAGGTACCAGGGTAGTGTCTAGGAGGTACCTGGGTAGTGTCTAGGAGTACCTGGGTAGTGTCATAGGAGGTACCTGGGTAGTGTCTAGGAGGTACCTGGGTAGTGTCTAGGAGGTACCTGGGTAGTGTCTAGGAGGTACCTGGGTAGTGTCTAGGAGGTACCTGGGTAGTGTCAAGGAGGTACCTGGGTAGTGTCTAGGAGGTACCTGGGTAGTGTCTAGGAGGTACCAGGGTAGTGTCTAGGAGGTACCTGGGTAGTGTCTAGGAGGTACCTGGGTAGTGTCTAGGAGTACCTGGGTAGTGTCTAAGGAGGTACCTGGGTAGTGTCTAGGAGTACCAATGGGTAGTGTCTAGGAGCGTACCGGGTAGTGTCTAGGAGGTACCTGGGTAGTGTCTAGGAGGTACCTGGGTAGTGTCTAGGAGGTACCAGGGTAGTGTCTAGGAGCTACCAGGGTAGTGTCTAGGAGGTACCAGGGTAGTGTCAAGGAGCTACCAGGGTAGTGTCTAGGAGGTACCTGGGTAGTGTCAAGGAGATACCTGGGTAGTGTCTAGGAGGTACCAGGGTAGTGTCAAGGAGCTACCAGGGTAGTGTCAAAGAGCTACCAGGGTAGTGTCAAGGAGGTACCAGGGTAGTGTCAAGGAGAGGTGTCAGTACCAGGGTAGTGTCAAGGAGGTACCAGGGTAGTGTCAAGGAGGTACCAGGGTAGTGTCTAGGAGGTACCAGGGTAGTGTCAAGGAGCTACCAGGGTAGTGTCTAGGAGGTACCAGGGTAGTGTCTAGGAGGTACCTGGGTAGTGTCAAGGAGCTACCAGGGTAGTGTCAAGGGACGGTAGTCAAGGTAGTAGTCAAGGAGGTACCAGGGTAGTGTCTAGGAGGTACCAGGGTAGTGTCAAGGAGCTACCAGGGTAGTGTCAAGGAGCTACCAGGGTAGTGTCAAGGAGGTACCAGGGTAGTGTCTAGGAGGTACCTAGAGGGTACGGTAGTGTCTAGGAGGTACCTGGGTAGTGTCAAGGAGCTACCAGGGTAGTGTCAAGGAGCTACCAGGGTAATGTCAAGGAGCTACCAGGGTAGTGTCAAGGAGCTACCAGGGTAGTGTCAAGGAGGTACCAAGGTAGTGTCAAGGAGCTACCAGGGTAGTGTCAAGGAGCTACCAGGGTAGTGTCAAGGAGGTACCAGGGTAGTGTCTAGGAGGTACCAGGGTAGTGTCAAGGAGCTACCTGGGTAGTGTCAAGGAGCTACCAGGGTAGTGTCAAGGAGGTACCAGGGTTGTGTCAAGGAGCTACCAGGGTAGTGTCAAGGAGGTACCAGGGTAGTGTCAAGGAGGTACCAGGGTAGTGTCTAGGAGGTACCAGGGTAGTGTCAAGGAGGTACCTGGGTAGTGTCTAGGAGGTACCAGGGTAGTGTCAAGGAGCTACCAGGGTAGTGTCAAGGAGCTACCAGGGTAGTGTCAAGGAGGTACCAAGGTAGTGTCAAGGAGCTATCAGGGTAGTGTCAAGGAGCTACCAGGGTAGCGTCAAGGAGGTACCAAGGTAGTGTCAAGGAGCTACCAGGGCAGTGTCAAGGAGCTACCAGGGTAGTGTCAAGGAGCAACCAGGGTAGTGTCAAGGAGCTACCAGGGTAGTGTCAAGGAGTACCAAGTGTGGTAGTGTCAAGGAGCTACCAGGGTAGTGTCAAGGAGGTACCAGGGTAGTGTCAAGGAGGTACCAGGGTAGTGTCAAGGAGCTACCAGGGTAGTGTCAAGGAGGTACCAGGGTAGTGTCAAGGAGCTACCAGGGTAGTGTCAAGGAGGTACCAGGGTAGTGTCAAGGAGGTACCAGGGTAGTGTCAAGGAGGTACCAAGGTAGTGTCAAGGAGCTACCAGGGTAGTGTCAAGGAGCTACCAGGGTAGTGTCAAGGAGCAACCAGGGTAGTGTCAAGGAGCTACCAGGGTAGTGTCAAGGAGGTACCAGGGTAGTGTCAGGAGTACCAGGGTAGTGTCAGGAGGTACCAGGGTAGTGTCAAGGAGGTACCAGGGTAGTGTCTAGGAGCTACCAGGGTAGTGTCAAGGAGGTACCAGGGTAGTGTCAAGGAGCTACCAGGGTAGTGTCAAGGAGGTACCAGGGTAGTGTCAAGGAGCTACCAGGGTAGTGTCAAGGAGGTACCAGGGTAGTGTCAAGGAGGTACCAGGGTAGTGTCAAGGAGCTACCAGGGTAGTGTCAAGGAGCTACCAGGGTAGTGTCAAGGAGCTACCAGGGTAGTGTCAAGGAGGTACCAAGGTAGTGTCAAGGAGCTACCAGGGTAGTGTCAAGGAGGTACCAGGGTAGTGTCAAGGAGGTACCTGGGTAGTGTCAAGGAGTACCAGGGTAGTGTCAAGGAGGTACCAAGGTAGTGTCAAGGAGCGTACGGTTACCCCAAGGTAGTGGGAGCAAGGAGCCCGGTACCATGGGTAGTTTTTCATGGCAGGTACCAGGGTATTTACTGATCAAGGACTGCTACCAGGGTTATTAATGTCAATGGAAGGTGCCACAGTAGTGTCAGAGAGTGACCATGAGTAGGTACAAGAGCTACCAGGAAGTAGTGTCAAGGACGGTACAGGGTAGTGTAAGGAGGTACCAGGTATGTCTAAAGAGCTACCAGGGAATAACAGACTTACCATCAGGTAGTGTCATAGGAGCTACCAGGGTAGTGTCAAGGATCTACCAGGTAGGTCAAGGATTACAGGGTAACGTGTAAAGATCTACCCCTAAGGGTAGTAAAATGTCAAGGATGCTAACCATGGGTATGTAAGAAGCTACCAGGGTAGTGTCAAGGAGTACAGGGTAGTAGTCAAGGAGCAACCAGTGGTTAGTGTCAAGGACACCTGTAGTAGTCAAGACGGTACACAAAGTAGTGTCAATGTACTAACGTTACTGTTGAATACGCTAAAACAGGCAAGATAGGATCAACAGAAAAAAGCGAAGGCAGAGGCCAGGCACAGCGCCGCCATAGTGAAGAACTGGAAGATAATGTTAATATTAACATGGAACAAACATGACATACACATCAATATTAACATGACATACACCGATATAAACATGACATACACATCAATATTAACATGACATACACTGATATAAACATGACATACACATCAATATTAACATGACATACACCGATATAAACATGACATACACATCAATATTAACATGACATACACCGATATAAACATGACATACACATCAATATTAACAATAGACAACACCGATATAAACTAAGACATATACACATCAATATAAACATGACATACACTGATATAAACATGACATCACATCAATATAACATGACATACACTGATATAAACATACACAACATACATATTAACATTACATAATACAAAAAACACACATCAATATAAAACGTTACACACAAATATAAACATACAAAATAAAACATATTCATACATTCACATATAAACCATTTACATACACATCAATATAAACATTACACATCAATATAAACATTACATACATCAATATAAACATTACATACATCAATATAAACATTACATACATCAATATAAACATTACACATCAATATAAACATTACACATCAATATAAACATTACATACATCAAATTATAAAAACATTACATACATCAATATAACACATTACATATATAAATTATTCAACATTACACATCAATATAAACATTACACATCAATATAAACATTACACATCAATATAAACAATCTTACATTACATCATCAATATAAACATTACATACATCAATATAAACATTACATACATCAATATAAACATTACATACATCAATATAAACATTACATACATCAATATAAACATTACACATCAATATAAACATTACACATCAATATAAACATTACACATCAATATAAACATTACATACATCAATATAAACATTACACATCAATATAAACATTACACATCAATATAAAAATTACACATCAATATAAACAAGAATAAACATTACACATCAATATAAATACAATATAAACATTACACAATATAAACATTACAATATAAACATTCCAAGATCATTACAGGAATTTCGTGGGTTAAAAAATAAATATTATAAATACATTAGTTTCCCCTCAACGTCTGAATTATTTAAGTCACCGGTTAAATATTCTGTACAGAGATTTAAGATTATAATAATTAAGCGGTAAACCCACATGGGTAGAGCTGAATAGAATTTAAGAAATGGTTACATTATTATTATATTATAATCAAGGGGGAAGCGCTAAACCCGGAGGATTATACAGTGCCTGGGGGGGGGGGATGTGGAAGGCATTCAGGCTTAATTAGGGGAACTGGAGCACAGATCCAATTCCCTAAATCAAGAGCCCCTCACCAACATCAAGGAACCTTCCTTGAGGGGAGAAATGGTTACAAAATCGTTAATAAGTCGTAAGTTTGGTTGCCAAGAGATATTTCAGCTTGTTCCATCACCATTATCAGTATTGTGATTATTTTGACTACTATTATCATTATTATGATTATCATTATCTTGTAGAAACACTAAACCCTAAGGAGTCGTATTAGAATGAGAACTAGGCGTTAAATCTACATAAGGAGTCTTATCTCTGTCAGTACGCTTGTTGATGTTAAACCTTCTGGGAAGGCTAAACCCGGTGGGTTAATGTGGTTTAGGTTTATGGAAAGGGGGGATGGCTCCGTTTCCTTGACTCCAGAGCTCTTCAGTAGCTTGAAGGGACGCTGGAAGGTCAGACTGGTCTAAGACAGTCCTGGACAGACTGGTCTAAGACAGTCCTGGACAGACTGGTCTAAGACAGTCCTGGACAGACTGGTCTAAGACAGTCCTGGACAGACTGACCTAAGACAGTCCTGAAGACTGGTCTAAGACAGTCCTGGACAGACTGGTCTAAGACAGTCCTGGACAGACTGACCTAAGACAGTCCTGAAGACTGACCTAAGACAGTCCTGAAGACTGACCTAAGACAGTCCTGAAGACTGGTCTAAGACAGTCCTGAAGACTGGTCTAAGACAGTCCTGAAGACTGGTCTAAGACAGTCCTGAAGACTGGTCTAAGACAGTCCTGAAGACTGGTCTAAGACAGTCCTGAAGACTGGTCTAAGACAGTCCTGAAGACTGGTCTAAGACAGTCCTGAAGACTGGTCTAAGACAGTCCTGAAGACTGGTCTAAGACAGTCCTGAAGACTGGTCTAGACAGTCCTGAAGACTGGTCTAAGACAGTCCTGAAGACTGGTCTAAGACAGTCCTGAAGACTGGTCTAAGACAGTCCTGAAGACTGGTCTAAGACAGTCCTGAAGACTGGTCTAAGACAGTCCTGAAGACTGGTCTAAGACAGTCCTGAAGACTGGTCTAAGACAGTCCTGAAGACTGGTCTAAGACAGTCCTGAAGACTGGTCTAAGACAGTCCTGAAGACTGGTCTAAGACAGTCCTGAAGACTGGTCTAAGACAGTCCTGAAGACTGGTCTAAGACAGTCCTGAAGACTGGTCTAAGACAGTCCTGAAGACTGGTCTAAGACAGTCCTGAAGACTGGTCTAAGACAGTCCTGGACAGACTGGTCTAAGACAGTCCTGAAGACTGGTCTAAGACAGTCCTGAAGACTGGTCTAAGACAGTCCTGAAGACTGGTCTAAGACAGTCCTGAAGACTGGTCTAAGACAGTCCTGAAGACTGGTCTAAGACAGTCCTGAAGACTGGTCTAAGACAGTCCTGAAGACTGGTCTAAGACAGTCCTGAAGACTGGTCTAAGACAGTCCTGAAGACTGGTCTAAGACAGTCCTGAAGACTGGTCTAAGACAGTCCTGAAGACTGGTCTAAGACAGTCCTGAAGACTGGTCTAAGACAGTCCTGAAGACTGGTCTAAGACAGTCCTGAAGACTGGTCTAAGACAGTCCTGAAGACTGGTCTAAGACAGTCCTGAAGACTGGTCTAATATCCCGCAGATACACGAGACGTTACGTTTTGATCAATTACTAAGTCACAAGGAAGAATTTAGGTTGATATGTAAAGGGAGGATACATCCAGTTCAGTGGATCAAGAGCCCCACACCGGCACCTCCCTAGAGGTGAGAAAGTTAGTTGAGAGATAGGCATTGTTATGAAGGAATGAGGAAGAACAAGTGAAGAACGCTACAAAACACGCTTTTACTGCAACAACATTTCGATCTGCTAGGATCTTGAAGAGAGACAACCTGCACATAGAAGAGGAGCTTAAGACGACGTTTCGGCCCAAATCGGACCGAAACGTCGTGGTAAGCTCCTCTCTTCCATGTGCGGGTTATTTGTGTATCGTTCCAGTCACGGTATTGTCCCTTTTTTTATTCTTGACCAAGATCCTCACGGATCGAAACGTCGTGCAAATAAAACGTGCTCTGCAGAGTGGGTTTCTTCTCAACTATTGTGGCTAGTACACCATTTCCACCCGTCAAGTTTACACAAATTTTACCTCTTCGTTGAAGCTGTGAGTGATGATCTCTGGCTGCCTAAGTCCATCGTCTATCTCCTGAGGAACGAGGATGCTGCCAACTAAGCTAGACACAAACACTTGGTATAACAAATACAGACTATTTGTTAGTGTGATTGATTTCTACACGCTAGTTTGATGACTATCAGGCGTAGTTGATCAAGTTTTAAGGCTAGGTTCGTCAGGAAATATGACTAGTGTTTCCAGACGTGGGTCTTAGTTATATAACACAAGGCTGGAACTTTTTGGTAGGTTAGGTTTGGTAAGGTTTACCAGGAACAAGACAGTGTGTCGTGACGTGGATCTTCCCACAGCTGGAAATGTTTGGCGATCTGACCGAGGTCTATCACTGGCTTACTCTCTCAACCCCTTTTTGAAGTTATTATACCCATCGTACTAACTTCAAGCCTATTTTTCATCCAATTTAAGACACCCAAGAATTCTCTACGACTGATCAACCTGGATGTGTATGGCGGCCCGTGGCCTGGTAGACAACACTTTCACTTCATACGCTGATTGTCCGTGGTTCAATCCCCGGCAAGGGTGGAAGCAATGGGCGTGTTTCCTTACACCAGTTGTTCCGTTCACCTAGCAAGCAAGTAGGTACCTGGGTGTTAGGTGACAAGTGTGGGTGGCATCCAGGGGAACAAAGTAGAAGGACTACAATGGAAATAAGACAGACAATCCTCGATGACGCACCTGACTTTTTGAGTTATCCTGGGTGGCTAACCTAGGATAATAGGTCCAGTCCCGGGACAGATGAGGACCAGACAGAACTACAAAGACCTGGACAGGCTGGACACTTGGTCCAGCAACTGGCTTCTTGAATTCAACCCTGCCAAATGCAAAGTCATGAAGATCGGGGAAGGGCAAAGAAGACCGCAGAGTACAGTCTAGGTGGACAAAGACTGCAAACCTCACTCAAGGAGAAAGATCTTGGGGCGAGTATAACACCGAGCACATCTCCTGAGGCACACATCAACCAGATAACTGCTGCAGCATATGGGCGCCTGGCAAACCTGAGAATAGTGTTCCGATACCTTAATAAGGAATCGTTCAAGACACTGTACACTGTGTATGTTAGGCCCATACTGGAGTATGCAGCACCAGTCTGGAAACCACACCTGGTCAAGCACGAGGAAAGGTTGAGGGAAATCGGACTGACGACACTGGAGGACAGAAGGGTCAGGGGAGACATGATAACGACATACAAGATACTGCGGGGAATAGACAAGGTGGACAGAGATAGGATGTTCCAGAGAGGGGACACAGAAACAAGGGGTCACAACTGGAAGCTGAAGACTCAGACGAGTCACAGGGACGTTAAGAAGTATTTCTTCAGTCATAGAGTCAGGAAGTGGAATAGCCTAGCAAGTGAAGTAGTGGAGGCAGAAACCATACATAGTTTTAAGAAGAGGTATGACATAGCTCAGGAAGCAGAGAGGGAGAGGACCTAGTAGCGATCAGTGAAGAGGCGGGGCCAGGAGCTGAGTCTCGACCCCTGCAACCACAATTAGGTGAGT